ATTGAAAACCAATTTTAAAAAAAGTTAAAAAAAAGTATTTTATCTGTTCAAAACTCTTTATAAAGTGCACTTTAAAGTCATAAATACTGTACAGGGACATGAGTAAAAATGAATTTGTAAATGCATTGAAAACCAACTAATCTGTTCCGGAGGTCAGGAAAAAGTCAAAAAAAGTTTTATCTGTTCAAAACTCTGTATAAAGTGCACTTTAAAGGCATAAAGGGACATGATTGAAAAAAAAAAGTTTGTAAATGCATTGAAAACCAATTAATCCGTTCCGGAGGTCAGAAAAAAGTCAAAAAAAGTATTGTCTGTTCAAAACTCTTTATATAGTGCACTTTAAAGGCATAGTACTGTACAGGGACATGATTAAAACAAAATCGTACATTCATTGAAAACCAATTAATCTGTTCGTATTGCGAAAAAAATGTATAAACTGAACCATTATTTTCAATGGATCTTCATTTGTAAGCCGAAAATTACATTAACTGAGGCATCCGTAAACCGAGGTATGCCTGTATATCCAATCATGTGGACCCTCATACTATCCAGATATTGACAAATTTGTTGATCTGACAAATCAAATCTGAAAGGAACCTAAATCCACATTCTTTAATACTTAGCTTCCCTTATCAGGATGGATTTTAAAATTAAAAAATAATCAGTTAGGTTTCTGCTAATATGTGAAGTATCCAGAACAGGGACTGACTGACAACTCATGGGGCCCCTGTGTCCTTGCCCAAACTCAAAAAAGGTACCAGGGGCATCTCATGGGGCCCCCTACCGACCCCGGGCCCTAGGGCAGTGCCCAAGTTTCCAAATGATCAGTCCGCCCCTGATCCAGAACTGAATGTGCTGTGCTAGTGAAACCTTCTTTATGTCCTCTCTACCTACATGTAGGCAGTTGCAGTTTACTTTCCACACTGCAAGTGGCGCTCAACCGCAGCAGCATAGCAGAGGGATAGGAAGTCAACAGGAACAAGAAGAAAAATATTATAGTTTCCTGAGTCACTGGAGAAGCTATCCGGTTGGATACTGCCACCCCATCTGACTCTAGTGGCCATCTAAGCTCAGGCAGAGTCTATTTAAGACTGGTTCCCAGTATTGGCACACGTTTTGCAAGTGGGTAGTGTGGGGACAGGTCACTGGTCTGTCAGGGAAAGTGAAAAGTTCCAGATGAGTATGGACAGGATAGGGACATGCCATCCTTCCTGGAATCTTCCCATTGGGGTACAGACTAGCTAGCCTGCATTCCGCCCTCTGAGACAGACGCATCCAAGACTTGCTCCGTTCCACATTGCTGTCACATTGTCACAAGTTAGCCTGCAGTTTCTTGTTTGTATTGTTACCTCCTTGCTGCAATGCTGTTCCTGATCCCTTCACATGTGTGTTTGTCTGTTCTCACCTATGGGCGTCGTCTGCTATCCTCTGGGTTTTATTTCCTTCCCTTCCATCACTTCCTGGCCCGCCTCCTTGTTTGCCTGCCTATATAAGACATGCTCAGTCTAGGCCACTTTGCATGAGCAACTTACTAGTTCCTGTGTATTGCTAGCGCCTGTATCCTGCATTGACTACTCATGTACCGACCCCGGCTTCGTTCTCTGACTGTGCTTGTTTTCCGCCAGTCCTGACCTCGGCTAGTCTATCGGATTTCCGTTTGTCTCCGCCCATTGTACTCTGCTCCTGCGAGGTGTCTCCTCATCCTCAGCTCGGCGTTCCTGGGGGCCGCAATCTGGTCCCAGCTTGCTGCAAGTCCATCCCCACCATCAGGGGTTCTGGTAAAGAAGCAGGCTGGGGCTTAGACTCCGTGCCCTGGGGAACCCCAAGTAGAGTATCTACAAGGGCTCACTACCACAGGTGCTGACAGACATCCTGTGAATATTTCTATTCTGGTGCCTTCCTGTTGGGCTGTTTGTAGAGTTGAACTTTGACTTTAATACAAGTTCTGTTCCTGAAACTGTGTATTTACTGATGCCAAACCACGCTGCACCTCCCCACATACAAGAGGGCTTTAAACTGAACCTATGCTTTGCCAATGCAGGACAAATCAACAGGATCACGTAAATTCAACAGTCTCTAATGGCATTTTAACTCTCTGAAGCACCAAATACTTCCCTTCCTTTTACACGCTGCTCTGATCAGCTACCCAGAGCAAAGAAAGACACATGAATCAAAGCTCATACAGGGCTATGGATGGCCATGTGATAGTGCTGGGGCAATCAGTGAGACTGAGTCATACAGTATGTTCTTCTATACCTTGAAGTACAGGATATTTCTTTTAGCATTGAAGGGATCGGCATAGGAGAGAAGGAAGGAAATATAAGGATGTGCTGCTGAAGGGGGGCTTAACCTCCCTGGAGGTATTCCCGAGTGTAGCTCGGGGTAAAGTTTCAGCACCACATGCGGTAACCCCGAGCAGGGGCGGACTGACCATTTGGAAACTCGGGCACCGCCCAAGGGCCTGGGGTCAGTAGGGGGCCCCATGAGATGCCCCTGGTACCTTTTTCATAGGCTTTTTTGAGTTTGGGCAAGGACACAGGGGCCCCATGATCCCCTATTGCCTGGGGGCCCCATGAGTTGTCAGTCCGCCCCTGAACCCAAGCTACACTCGGGAATACCCTGCAGCTCTGCTCCGGATCTCTTCTTCACTTACCTTGTCCTGCGCTCCCGCGATGTCCCTCCTGCAGTGTCCCCGGCAATGTCCTCCGGCATCCGTCTTCTGGTTTCCATTCCCTGCGACGTCGGGACGTACGGGGACGGAACGGCGGGAAATTTAAAAATGGGAAAAAGTGACATTCACTAAATACACTAAAATCACATAGTAAAACATTACTGTATCAAACCATTTCACATACATTTTTTCCCGAGTGCTTTGCCCTGTGCCCTGCCTGCATTTTTACTGTTCTTTCTGCCTGGAAACTGAGAAATGTCCATGGCGTCCAAAAAGCGTCCCTTTAGGTCAAAAGCTGTTTTTAGACCAGCTAGAGAACAGCGATAGTAAATTAGAACTACTTGCCAAATTGAGTGATAATGATTCGTGGGGAAATTCATCATCAGACACTGAAAACGATTCTGCGACTTTGCTCAGTGATGTGTGAACTTGGTGCTCTATTTCAAATTTCAGTGTTTTTGGTTTGATTATATTTGTCAGGAATGGACTGGCCAGCAATAGTGGGACTCAGCTGCCTTATGAGCTGCAGTACCAGGGCTGGCCAGCGGGTGCTCCCAGCAATCAGAGACTCAACCTTGCAGCCAGTCAAACACCTGGAACTAATTATACTGGTGTATTTAAGGGACATTCAGACCTGCAGACTCGGCCTTGGTGTTGTGTTTCTCTTGGGCCCTGTATCCTGTTCCTGCTCTCTGTTCCTGTCTGATTCTCTGCTGACCCTGCTCTGATCCCTGGCTTGTCTGACCATTCTCCTCTGCCTGACCCTCTGTACCACGCTGCCCGCTACCTGCTGAACCTGGCCTGTGACCCCGACCATTCTCCGCTTGCTCCCCCTGTACCTACCTGCCCGACTGATATTGACCCGGCCTGCCTGACGACGCTTGCATTGTATGTACTGTTATCTGTGGGTGGTTGGTTGGTTTGTTTGCACTGTGTTATGTTTTAGTATTGCACTGCGTTTATGTTTGTATGGTTAGTGTGTTAATAAATTACATTGTTTATAACATATCTGAAGTCTGCGTTTCCCTGCGTCAGTCACACACCTCTGGTCATACCCGGGAGCCCTGACATTACACCAAGGCCAATCCTGACCAGAAGTGGCTGCACAGGGAAGCCATCTTGGCTTGTTGATGGGAAGGATGGATTTGGATGAGGTTGCGTATTTATATCTGCTAGTGTTTGATGACAGGGAGTATGCTTATCAAACTCTGAAGGAGTATAACCCGGGATCAACTGCTAGAATGTATACGGCTCGCTCATGTTCTAGTAGATCAGGGCACAGAGTTCTCTGAGGTGCAGCCTTTGATTGAGGTTTGTGCTGAGTTGGTTTCATCTGGTACCCCCCGAATGCAGGAATGAATTTTTGCCACCATTTAGTGCAGACCAGGTAGAGTCCCTGGTGTGGTTATTAGAGGATGATGTGGGTTACTTTCTGGAGCGTTATTCCACATGTTCACCACAGATACTAAGAGATTGTATAAACGCAGTGCAGTCTTTGGTCAGACAGGCTTTGTGTAAGCTCAGCTTTGTTCAACCCATACTGCAGACATGGACAGATTTGTTGCACCCAGCCTCAGTCAGCTTACAAAGACCCAGTCCTGCTTCTAATCTATTTCCTCAAAGCTCTACTCCTGTATTCCCAACAGCTCCTCCTTGCCCTGCTATCTACCGCATGTCAGTACCCTGTTCCCACTCGCTGCACCTATCCTGCCTTTAACCCTGTAAAGAAGCCCTCTGTAGCAACTGCTCCCTCTCCTGTTCCATCCTCCAGTTCTTCTCTGTCTCCAGCTGCTCCATTCGTTTGCAGACCTGCGTTTACTTGCAGTGCTCCAGTAGTTAAAACCAGCAAAAAAAAGCGAAAAATTCTTTCCAACCAATACCATCCTGCCAGTATCCAAACCGTGAACCTGCCTTCCGTGGTTGCCATCTATCCTCTACTCAGCCTGATGCCTGTACGCAGCCTGATGCCTGTACGCAGTCTGATGCCTCTACTCGGCCTGATGCCGTACTCGGTTCAGCCTGATGCCTCTACTCAGCCTGATGCCTCTACTCAGCCTGATGCCTCTACTCAGCCTGATGCCTGTACTCAGCCTCTACTCAGCTGATGCCTGTACTCAGCCTGATGCCTGTACGCAGCCTGATGCCTCTCTTCAGCCTGAAGCCTCTACTCGGCCTGAAGCCTCTACTCGGCCTGAAGCCTCTATTCGGCCTGATGCCTCTACTCGGCCTGAAGCCTCTACTCGGCCTGAAGCCTCTACTCGGCCTGATGCCTCTACTCGGCCTGAAGCCTCTACTCGGCCTGAAGCCTCTACTCAGCCGGACGCCGGCATTCAGCCTGATGCCCCTACCCAGCATGATGAACTGATCCAGCCTGACGATCCTATTAGGCCAGTTGACTCGATGCCCGCTGTTGATCCAGATGATCCGGTGCCCGCTGTCGTGCCAATTGACTCAGAGCCCGCTGTCGTACCTGGTGACTCGGTGCCCACTGCCTTGCCAGATGACGCGGTGCCCGCTGGCAAGCCAAATGACCTGATGCCTGGTGACCCAGTGCCCACTGTCATACCTGGTGACCCGATGCCCGCTGTCGAGCCAGACAATCTGGTACCTGATGACCCGGTGCCCACTGTCGTGCCTGTTGACTCGGAGCCCACTGCCTTGCCAGATGACGCGGTGCCCGCTGTCGAGCCAAATGACCTGATGCCTGGTGACCCGATGCCCGCTGTCCAGTCAGACGATCCAATGTCTGACCCAGTGCCCGCGGTCATACCAGTTGACTCGGAGCCCACTGCCTTGCCAGATGACGCGGTGCCCGCTGTCGAGCCAAATGACCTGATGCCTGGTGACCCAGTGCCCGCTGTCATACCTGGTGGCCCGATGCCCCCTGTCGAGCCAGACAATCCTTGGTACCTGATGACCCGGTGCCCACTGTCGTGCCTGTTGACTCGGAGCCACTGCCTTGCCAGATGATGCGGTGCCCGCTGTCGAGCCAAATGACCTGATGCCTGGTGACCCGATGCCCGCTGTCCAGCCAGACGATTCAATGTCTGCCCCAGTGCCCGCGGTCATACCAGTTGACTCGGAGCCCACTGCCTTGCCAGATGACGCGGTGCCCGCTGTCGAGCCAAATGACCTGATGCCTGGTGACCCGATGCCCACTGTCCAGCCAGACGATTCAATGTCTGCCCCAGTGCCGCGGTCATACCAGTTGACTCGGAGCCCACTGCCTTGCCAGATGACGCGGTGCCCGCTGTCGAGCCAAATGACCTGATGCCTGGTGACCCGATGCCCGCTGTCCAGCCAGACGATCCAATGTCTGACCCAGTGCCAGCGGTCATGCCAGTTGACTCGGAGCCCAATGTCGTGCCTGGTGACTCGTTGCCCGCCGCTTTGCCTGGGGGCCCGAGACCTGTCGCTCCGCCTGGGGGTCCGGCGCCCGCCGCTCCGCCTGGGGGTCCGGCGCCCGCCGCCCCGCCTGGGGGACTGAGACCTGTCGCTCCGCCTGAGGGCCCGAGACCTGTTGCTCCACATGGGGGTCCGGTGCCCGCCGCTCCGCCTGAGGGCCCGAGACCTGTCGCTCCACCTGGGGGTCCGGCGCCCGCCGCTCCGTCTGAGGGCCCGAGACCTGTCGCTCCACCTGGGGGTCCGGCGCCCGCCGCTCCACCTGAGGGCCCGAGACCTGTCGCTCCACCTGGGGGTCCGGCGCCCGCTGCTCCGCCTGAGGGCCCGAGACCTGTCGCTCCATCTGGGGGTCCGGCGCCCGCCGCTCCGCCTGAGGTCCCGAGACCTCGCCTGTCGCCCCGGCTTGGGATCCCGATGCCTGTCGCCCCGCCTGGGGGCCCGATGCCTGTCGCCCCGCCTGGGGGCCCGATGCCTGTCGCCCCTCCTGGGGGCCCGGCGCCCGCCGCTCCGCCTGGGGGCCCGATGCCTGTCGCCCGCCTAGGGGCCCGATGCCTGTCGCCCCGCCTGGGGGCCCGATGCCTGTCGCCCCGCCTGGGGGCCCGATGCCTGTCGCCCCGCCTGGGGGCCCGATGCCTGTCGCCCCGCCTGGGGGCCCGGCGCCTGCCGCTCTGCCTGGGGGCCCGATGCCTGTCGCCCCGCCTGGGGGCCCGACGCCTGTCGCCCCGCCTGGGGGCCCGGCGCCTGCCGCTCTGCCTGGGGGCCCGATGCTGGTCGCCCCGCCCGGGGACCCGATGCCGGTCGCCCCGCCCGGGGACCCGGTGCCGGTCGCCCCGCCCGGGGGCCCGGTGCCTGTTGCACCGCCCGGGGGCCCGGTGCCTGCTGCTCCGCCCGGGGGCCCAGTGCCTGCTGCTCCGCCCGGGGGCCCGATGTGCCTCTGCCTGGAGTCCTGCCCGATGTGCCTCTGCCCGGAGTCCTGCCCGATGTGCCTCTGCCCGGAGTCCTGCCCGATGTGCCTCTGCCCGGTGTGCCTCTGCCCGGTGTGCCTCTGCCCGATGTGCCTCAGCCCGATGTGCCTCTGCCCGGAGTCCAGCCCGATGTGCCTCTGCCCGGAGTCCAGCCCGATGTGCCTCTGCCCGGAGTCCAGCCCGATGTGCCTCTGCCCGGTATGCCGCTGCCCGCAGTGCCTCTGCCCGGAGTCCAGCCCGATGTGCCTCTGCCCGGAGTCCAGCCCGATGTGCCTCTGCCCGGAGTCCAGCACGATGTGCCTCTGCCCGGAGTCCAGCCCGATGTGCCTCTGCCCGGAGTCCTGCCCGATGTGCCTCTGCCCGGTGTGCCGCTGCCCGGAGTCCTGCCCGGTGTGCTAGTCTTTGATATCCCCCAGTTACCAGACCCGGGCGGTGGAACATTTTGCCCAGCTAGGACTGTTTGGAGCGTCCTGAGGCCGCTCCTTGAGGGGGGGGGGTACTGTCAGGAATGGACTGGCCAGCAATAGTGGGACTCAGCTGCCTTATGAGCTGCAGTACCAGGGCTGGCCAGCGGGTGCTCCCAGCAATCAGAGACTCAACCTTGCAGCCAGTCAAACACCTGGAACTAATTATACTGATGTATTTAAGGGACATTCAGACCTGCAGACTCGGCCTTGGTGTTGTGTTTCTCTTGGGCCCTGTATCCTGTTCCTGCTCTCTGTTCCTGTCTGATTCTCTGCTGACCCTGCTCTGATCCCTGGCTTGTCTGACCATTCTCCTCTGCCTGACCCTCTGTACCACGCTGCCCGCTACCTGCTGAACCTGGCCTGTGACCCCGACCATTCTCCGCTTGCTCCCCCTGTACCTACCTGCCCGACTGATATTGACCCGGCCTGCCTGACGACGCTTGCATTGTATGTACTGTTATCTGTGGGTGGTTGGTTGGTTTGTTTGCACTGTGTTATGTTTTAGTATTGCACTGCGTTTATGTTTGTATGGTTAGTGTTAATAAATTACATTGTTTATAACATATCTGAAGTCTGCGTTTCCCTGCGTCAGTCACACACCTCTGGTCATACCCGGGAGCCCTGACAATATTATTGAATTAAATGTATTATTATTATATTGTTATTTTTTATGATTATTTATTTAAATTATAATTTATGATTTCGTGTTTCAAATTTTAACATACCCGGGATGTTTACTAGACTCTTGTTCAGACAGATTTCAGTGAGTTATTCCTAAAAATTACAGGCCTACAATAAACAAAATACATATTTACATGCAAAAAAATGTACCACTTTGAGCACAGAAATACTGACATAATCACACCGCTAGGGATGCTACAGTGAAATTTAATCTTGAGCAAGATTTTCCCAAAATCCACATATGCAAATCCATATCCTGTGACTAGTACATGCTACTCCTCCTAGGTTGGGGCCTGACACATTTCTGTGTCAGAAGTTTCCGTTTGTGTTCACGCATGAGGCATGTGGCATGGCACTGCACAGGTAATGTATGACCTCTATCTGCAGTCTAAGAACTGACACTTCCTGTGAAGAAACTACATATCCCACAATCCCTGGTTCTCAGTCTAGTACTCTGTAAGTGAATGCTAGTAACTAATTCTGACAAAGGCAGAGAAATTAATATAGAGCTTACTGTTTTATCACATTAGCACATTTGTGATGTAACACAGAGGACACATGCACTAGATGCTATATGACCTGGAACAAGAAGTTGCCTGTCCCTTTAGCGAACAAGGACAAGCTAAGTGAATAAATACATGAGCATAAGGGGATTGCTCAGCCATGGCGCTACACACTACATTCACACCATGTGAGCCTATCATTAGAAGGTAAGGAAAACAATCACATAGAGAATATAACTATACTAATACCTAGTTAAAACAACAGCAACATTTGAAAATGTGCAAGGCCTTAAAACAAACTCGTGTGCAGAGAAAAATATTGAGGCTGCCAATGCTGATGACTCTTGCCAATGCTGAAAATTTTAGATGTCTGACTGTTATTTCATTTTATTGGCTTCAATACTTCTTGAGTCTTTCACCTAAAATATGTATACTTTTTACAAGTTCTGACCTCACTGGCTGCATTCCTGTTCCAAGTCAGTGACTCAGAAAGTATTAAAGCCATTAGATTGGCATGACAACCAAACAACTAGCATTTTCAGAGAAAAATTAGCCTTGACAGCTTTCATACTTTAATTAGGACAGTTTTCAGTAATGAGAATTATTTTTGTTGGGAAAAAAATAAAGGTTTTTAATACAAAAAAACAAATTTTCTATTTCCGCCTTCAGTTCGTCCCCCCACACTGTTAATACCTTTTGTACAACTAACCCCTCCCTCTTAGATTGTAGCTCCAAGGAGCAGGGCCCTCCTAACCCTCTTGTATTAAACTGTATTGTTGCTGTATTGTCTCCTTTTATATTGTAAAGTGCTGAGCAAACTGTTGGCGCTATATAAATCCTGTATAATAATAATATATAGATATATACCTCTTAGATTGTAAGCTCCAAGGAGCAGGGCCCTCCTATCCCTCTTGTATTGAACTGTATTGTTGCTGTATTGTCTCCTTTTATATTGTAAAGTGCTGAGCAAACTGTTGGTACTATTTAAATCCTGTATAATGCTAATAATAATGCACAGTGGCTAAATGGTTAGCATTTCCGCCTGGCAGTACTAGGGTTGGTTCAAATCCCAACCACAGCACCACCTGCCTGGAGTTTGCATGTTCTCCCTGTGCCTGCATGGGTTTCCTCCGGGTACTCCAGTTTCCTTCCACACTCCAAAAGACATGCTGGGTAGGTTAATTGGCTCCTGTCTAAATTGGCCCTAGTATATGAATATAAGCAGGGGCGGACTGACCATCTGGAAACTCGGGCACTGCCTGAGGGCCCGGGGTCAGTAGGGGGCCCCATGAGATGCCCCTGGTACCTTTTTCATAGGCTTTTTTGAGTTTGGGCAAGGATACAGGGGCCCCATGATCCCCTATTGCCCGGGGGCCTCATGAGTTGTCAGTCCGCCCCTGAATATAAGTTAGGGACCTTAGATTGTACACCCCTTGAGGGTTAGGGACTGATGTGAATGTACAATATATATATGTAAAGAGCTGTGTAAATTGACGGGGCTATATAAGTACCTGAAATAAATAAAAATTTTAAAAAATGCAAGTTTGTTGTATTTATTTTGTATATATTTAAGTCCAAATGCATTTACTTTCTATTATCTATACTGTATATTAATTTGAAATCACTTTGAAGATTTTATTCTGTTAGAGTGTGTAACCAGGTGCAGAGGCTACTAAATAATGGAAAATGGAATTAGAATGCACAGCAGACTGATCATTTCTCCACTAATGCACATGCATGCACATTACAGCACTTCCAGCCTCTAGAGCAGGGGGTGTCAAACTCAATTTCCTAGCAGGCCGCATCAGCATTATGGTTGCCTTCAAAGTGCCGGTTGTATCTGTAAGACTATAAAAATGTATGTACTCTTGATCATATTAAATAATGGCCTCTGCATTTGATTTTTACTGGTTTTAGTAATAATTTAAGACTAAGGCTGCATTCACACATGGGTGTTTTGAATTGTGGGCAGAATCCCTGCAATTCTGCTCGCGATTTCAAAACGCTCTGCAAAAATGACAAATGATGAAGAGGCACTGATATGTTGCACTGATAGGCAGCACTGATGGGCACTGATAGCTGGCACTGAAGGTCAGTGA